CTTCCAAATGTTCTTCCTCTCATTCATGTAGCTGTCATAAGGAAAAGTCAACTTGACAGCAGGTAACACCGACAACAAAATATCCAATCACCAAAATGACTTTTCTTCTTTTTAGGAATCCGCTCTCTTGGGAAATTCATGCTACATCAAACGCCTCTATACTTGATAAGAAGCACACTGTTGTCCCCACTTGTTGGTAATAGTGTGAATTTCAGTTAGATAGATTTGTGCTGACAGAAAGAACTCTCTGTTGAATGAATGAACATTTTAAATGCTTGATATTTTTAATCGAACCCACCCATGTGCCCCATATCTTTATTGGTTTTCTAGATACTTTCCATTCAATTTTTACGACAAATTAGATCATGGTAGCAGCTAAAATCTTAATAGAAAGCTGTGATGCCTCGCTGCATTATAGCACAATGTTCTTGTTACTATCTATGTCCCATGATCCTAGTTTTCTTCTCCTAAACAAGTCAAAACCAACCTTCCACCCTGATGTTTTGGACTGCACTTTTGCAAATCCCTTCCCATTGGTCAATACTGGCTGAGTTGTGTGGAAGCCGAAATCCAAGACACTGGGGGTGCCCAAGATAGTCATCCCTGTTATATTAAAGTCTGAACACAACAGTTTTATTCAAATTAATTTAGTAATCCTTTTCTTAAAAGTAAGCTTTAAGAAAGGAGCAGTGATAAAGTAGCCTGCAGTCCACAAAAAGTCATGCATTTAACATTTAAAGTGTCATGGGATTTTCAGTAGTTTTTTTCCACAGCAGCTTCCCATTTAAGAATTAATCATACTGGTGATCTAAACATTCCAGCTAAGAAACTGCTTGTAAAATCTTGCCTACAGAGTTTCATTGTTAAACGGAAACCACAAAAGTACACATAATAAAACAGTTTGCCATGCTCATGTTTACTGGAGGCCTTTGGCTGGTTGCTTGGAGTACTATGGTACTTTCAAAAGGAATTTTGCATCCCTCTGATTATGGTTAAATATGACTAAATAAAAAACATAATGTAGTTTTAAATCAGAGTTAGTTGTAGGCTTACTAATTCTTGTTTGTTTGGGTACCCTTGCCATCATATAAAACCCCTCCCTCCTTTGTTTGTTTAATTTCTTAAGAGGAGAGGAATGAAGAAGGAGAAAATAAGCTGCAGTAATTAACACACTGCTAATTCACACTGAGGTTTATTAAAGAGACTTAAAGAAACAGATCTTTAAAAGGATTAGAAACACAAACATCAGCAATGACTTTTAAACAACAGCTAAACAGAGATATCAAGTCAGATTAGAATTTAAAACTACACTTCCAATCCCTGACCATTCCCATCTCTTCTGATAGGTTAAAGTACTGTATAAAACATAGGACTGAAACATAAACAAGGCATTGTTACTAGATTAATATGTATGTTTGCATCAGAAATAAGTCAATATATCCCTTTATTCATTTGCTTAACAGTGAACCAGTTCTGTAAGCTTCAGAATAAAACCAATTTCACTCTAAATGACCATATATATACTGTGTTAAATACTATCGACGAATAATGTTTCCAAAAATATTATTACTGTATTAATGAAAAGTGTGCAGAAGCAATTTTCAGCTTTAACAGTTCTTCAGAGCCCCGCTTTGAAGCAATATTTGGAGGGAATACAATGGATTTCTAGGTTGGAGAACATTAAGAACATTAAGCATCCTCTTTGCCTCTACTGGAGGAAAATCTCTGTTTGATCAAAAGCATCCCACAATGGGGGAAAAATCCACTGCTGAGAAGATTTTGCTTGACTCTAACCATTGTCATTTTGAACTTCAAATGATATTACAAAGTGGCTTAATTACCCCAATGATGTTATTGAAAAAAGAGTGCATTCATGATTTTAATGTCTTCATTCTGAAGATCAAGAAACTGTACTATTACTCAGCATTGGTCTTAGTGACTTTGTTATCTTACAGATGTGAAGAAAACATCAACCCACCAGGGGGAGTATGAACATAAGAATGAAAATGGAACTGGCAACAAAAATACTATAATCTTATTGTAGTTTAAGACATTTAGTCTGAACATTCAAAAGAGAAGTCTGTGAATCTAAGGGAAGCCTCACACATAAGAACATCCCTTGTTTAATTGGCTTTCTTGTTAAAATATACACTGGATTACAAATGTTCACTCTTCCATAAGAACTTGAGGTATTTACATAAGCATACAAGGAGTAGAAATTAAGTTTCAGTCTGAGTTATGAAAATCCTCTAAAATTGCACTATTAAGCATAATGTTATAATGGAACTAACATTTTGAGTAAAGTTGCTTACTGCAGATATGGTTGAACTGTTGTTCCTGAGTTCAAACAACTCTGCAACTTTATTTGAATATGATTTGCACAGGAACAACATAATAGTAAGACATAGTAACAACATGTGAGTGAGAATGTACAATTAAAATGTTCACTATGACCTCATGGTATTATAAAATATGATCCTACAGAAAACAAATAGAAGAACCTGAAATTAATTTCTTTTTATTTAGTATGTAGTCTTTAGGAACAATGATAAAAGTAAATAAAGATATTTCAAACAGTTCACAGTATGAAAGGAAAATCATTTAATTCTGCCACATAGGTATCTGACTCCCCCTCCTCACATATATAGTGTTCCCTCGCTACTTCACGGTTCACTTATCACAAACTTGCTGTTTTGTGGTTTTTTTATTTTAAAAAATGAACTTAAGTAGTGAGGGAACACTGTATAAAGCAGCTCTTCTCCCCTCCTCGCCCTCTTTACCTTACTCTTCCACCTCCTCGACACCGCCTGGTCCTCTTGATGCCGCTTGGACCCCGCAATTGAGGAGGCGGCAGAGGTGTTGCAGGGCCCAAGTGGCAGCAAGGAGCCCAGGAGGAGGAAGAGGAAGGTAAAGAGGGCAAGGAGGGAAGAAGAGCCACCCCCTCGCCCTCCTTACCTTCCTCCTCCTCCTCCTCATTGCCACCCGGGCCTCTTGCTGCCACTTGGGCCCTGCAATTGAGGCAGCATCGCGGGGGCCTGCGATGCAGCAGCAATAGGCCCAGGCAGAGATGAGGAAGAGGAAGGTAAAGAGGGCAAGGAGGGAAGGGGAGGAGGCATCCCTACTTAGTGGCATTTCACTTATTACGGGCGGTCCTGGAACGTAACACCTGCGATAAGTGAGGGAACACTGTACAAAGTTTTACAAGGTCTTTAGCTTTCTCTGCCAAAGAGTACTGGTGCCTCACCAAACTCCAACTTCTATGATTCCATAGCATTGAATAAGTGCTGTCAAACAGGATTAAATCATTTTTTGATTGAATCAAAGGACTTCTTACAGCTTTACAGTTTTATCTGTTGCTTTCAGGGACATTACAGTGCTATGACTGACTGTTCTGGGATACTGATTGATTACTCACAAACTGGCAGGGAATTGCAATATCCGAAGACCAGGCTATCTTGTCTCAGTGAAAAACAAGTATTAATCTAAGACACAACTAAGTCCATGAACCAATTTGCTGCATTTGACAAAAGCAATACCCCACATATTTAAGGCTGCCAACATTTCTTCTACTAAAACTCTAGTTGTGGTTTTAACATGTGTTGAGGGAGCTGCAGTGGCACAGTGGGCTGAACTGTTGACCTGAAGGTCAGCAGTTTGAATCCAAAAGACGGGGTGATCGCCCATCTATCAGCTCTAGCTTCCCATGCGGGGACATGAGAGAAGCCTCTCACAGGATGGTAAACATCCAGGTGTTCCCTGGACAACGTCCTTGTAAATAGCCAGTTCTCTCAGACCGGAAGCAACTTGCAGTTTCTCAAGTCACTCGTGACACACACAAAACCCATGTGTATTGCAAAAGAAAATATAAAAAGAAAGCATTTCAAGTCATTGCAACTGCTTTCCCTTCTGCTTTCTCATCCTGCTTGCTACACAAATAGTTTAAAGCATGATAGTAACATCAGGGGCAAAGTGACAATAGTACACATTTCAAATATTAGGGGGAAAAATACATAGTACTTATTTCGTGGAAGAAGAGGTAGGTGACAAAATTTTGTTTATAGCAGGCATGGACAAACTTGGGCCCTCCAGGTGTTTTGGACTTCAACTCCCTCCATTCCTAACAGCCTCAGGCCCCTTCCTTTTCATAGTCAAGAATGAAACGGGGAGGAAACAATGATCCTAAAGCTATCCAGTTAAATGATGTTAACTATTGTATGAATATTAATGGACAAAAGCCAAGACTAGAAACAGCTGCATTCAGAAAGAAATGTTAAATCAGGCATGGGCAAACTTTGGCCCTCCAGGTGTTTTGGACTTCAAATCCCACAATTCCTAACAGCCTTGCACCCCTTGCTTTCCCCCCTCAACCACTTAAGCAGAAGAGAAGAAAAGGAAAGAATCTGAGGCTGTTAGGAATTGTGGGAGTTGTAGTCCAAAACACTTGGAGGGCCAAAGTTTGCCCATGCCTGTGTTAGATGATTTCGGATTCACAGAACTTTCTGTTGCTGTTCTTAAAGAGCACCATTCTCTCAGAGTAGAAGTCATTGGGGAAATGTAGCGTGAAAGCACTGATTCACAACCTCTGATTCACACTCACACAAAAAAGCCTCCTATCACCTGTGTCCTGCCTCAAATTAATAAGTCGTATGTCTAATTGCATATGTAAGGAAACCCCAGCGGATACCAAGAGCTCGCTGCACTTCTTTCGTGGAAGAAGAGGTAAGTGACAAAATTTTGTTTATAGCAGGCCTGGGCCAACTTGGGCTCCTCCGAAGAGCACGGCGATGCAGCCTGAAGGCGAGGCCCCTCCCGCCTCCCTCGGCCATGGGCATCCTCTTCTGGCTGCCGTCGTCATGGCAACCGGACAACTTGCGGCCGGCCGCTCTCCGCCGCCCGCCATTCGCGAGCTTCAACGCCTCGGAGTTTGCCCGCTCCGGCGCCTCACGTCTTCCCCCTTGACACGCACACGCACACGCGTTCCCACAACAGGCAGGACTCACCCTCGTCGCCTTTTGTGGCGGCGTCGGTGGCAGCTCCTTCGCGCTTGCAGAAACTTTTCTCCCTGCCAGGGCGCCACGAAGGGTACAGGAGCCGTGCGGGGACAAAGTAGCGCAGAGTGCGAAGTCGGTCCTCTCCGCTGCTGGCGGCAGGGCTGGTCAGCCGAGGAGGGAGGGGGGAGGGACACACTCTCCTCCTTGACCCGCGCCTTTCAGGACGTTTCCCTCTCGAGGTCTGCGGTTACCTCAGCTGGCCTCCCTTTGGGTGTGTGAACAGTACACTACTCTAGCCACGGCCCACTCCTGTCAAGAATAACACTGAGCTCCATCCACAACATGGCACTTGGATATCATCATTGTAAACCAGACCTGGGCCCTTCCAGGTGTTTTGGACTCCAACTCCCACAATTCCTAACAGCCTCAGGCCCCTTTCTTTTCCCTTTTCCCTTATCCCTTTCCCACTTCAGCAGCTGAGGGGGAAAAGGAAAATGGCCTGAGGCTATTAGGAATTGTAGGAGTCAAAGTCCAAAATACCTGGGGGGGCCAAGTTTTTCCAGGCCTGGTAATTTATTTATCGTTTAGCAGACCAAACAGTTGCATTGCATTTTTAACAAACAAACAAACAAACAAACAAACAGAACACAAAGTTTGTAAGCTTGGTGGTTGATTAAATGTCCTTTGACTAGTATCTGGCCACTTGGAGTGCCTCTGGTGTTGCCGCAAAAAGGTCCTCCATCGTGCATGTGGCAGGGCTCAGGTTGTATTGCAGCAGGTGGTCAGTGGTTTGCTCTTCTCCACACTCGCATGTCGTGGATTCCACTTTGTAGCCCCATTTCTTAAGGTTGGCTCTGCATCTTATTGTGCCAGAGCGCAGTCTGTTCAGCGCCTTCCAAGTTGCCCGGTTTTCTGTGTGCCCAGGGGGAGTCTCTCATTTGGTATCAGCCATGGATTGAGGGTCTGGGTTTGAGCCCAGGCCTGTAGTGATGGGGTGGTTTTAGGGGTTCAACCCCCCCCCCCGAAATGTTTCAGATTTTTTTAAAGGCTGACCCTATGTTGTAAATGCAAGTGACCGAAGTACTTGGTAGTAAAAGCCGCCACCACCTCAGAAATGCTGGCCTGAGGAACCAAAAGGGTGTGAATGTATTTTAGGTAAAGGGTGTC